TATCAAGATGTACCGTTTTAAGAGACTAAAATTTTAGAGTTTTTTCTTTAACTAATATTAATTGTTATTGACAATTTTTGTATAATTTCCTGTCGTAACATATCTGACAAGTGTTTTCTCCTATGGAAAGCAAACAAACTTCAATAATATAAAATTGAACTCTGAGATATGTCTGGCACAAGCATGTACTGGTCCCATGGTAGCTTAAACCTGGAATGGGTCATTCTTGAAGTTTCTTTTTGCTGCTTGATAACTATCATGCATTATTTAAAGGTATAAAACACAGAGAGGTCAGATTTGAGTCTAGAAACTGTTACCTTGAGATTTCCACATACCATGTTAAAACCTTGCTCAAAGCAGAGTTCATACTTATTCACATTACCTGGATCTCTTAAGGAAAGTGAAAATTCTCACAGTTTGGCACATTTTGAAAATGCAGCATCTGGTCTTAACTAAAAGTTTGCCCCAATGACAGAAAACTCACTTTTAGTTTCAAGAAGGTTAAAAAAGGATTAAAATTTGCAATTATTTTTACCCCATAATTTACAGTTAATTGCATGCTTTAAAATACATTGGGAGGAAAGGCTTTATACATTTGAAATCGTCTTCATGAAATATCATGATTAAATAACAGTGTATAACAGATCATAACATACAATCAGTCCTTTTAATATTGCTCAACCATGACAAAATACGAAATAATTCAAACGAACCAATGGCCTAATTATGACAAAAAAAAACAAAAAACAAATAAGCCAGACAGCAACAAATGACATTGCAGGTTCCTTACTTGGGCACATATAGAATGTGGTGGCTTACATGTTTTGGAAAGCTCAACCCTCTCCTTACCTTGGAAAGGGGAGTAGCAGCACAATATAAGAAAAAAACTAAAAAATATGCATTTTTATACCATTATTATGATATTAGATCTTAAAATTAGATAATAGAAACTCCTAGATGATCATTTTATAGGTTTCAAAAATTGAACCATGTAATGAAAAAGTGAACCAATTACTTTCAAATATGAATGATGTCTCATTTGCATATATGTCATAATATCATCATTTTATAATGATGGATATAATTTGACATAACAAAAGAGCATTGATTTAGTGGTTTCCATGACAGTATCCAATCACAATCGAATTACAGAACAATTAAAATAAGACTAATCATAAATCAGTGATTAGGGAAGATGTATGTAGACAGTAAGATTTCAGATTTACAAGGTGAAATGTCTAATTAGTTACATGGTCTTGACTTCTCTTGTGGCAATCAATGAACTTCTTGTAATGTGAAAACAATCTAGCAATTTTGGGGTGTAAAGTGATCTGTTATTACTAATCATGAGCTGTATTTGAATGATTTTTAATGAATTTGTTAGTTCTTATATTTTCACAGCTTTTCTTAGTGTTTGTGTGGTATAATTTTAATGTGTATTTTATAAATTGAATTCTCCTACGTACCAGTGTCTTTTTTCCTTACTTAAAATTAATGAAATTTCCTTCTCCAAGCTTTAATCTTCATACATTTTTAGCTCAATTAGCCCATAGGCCCCATTTTAATCTAATGCCACCACTTGGTATTCAGGGTTTGTTATAATTTTTGCCATACTCTATCTTTTCAAAAACCATGGTTGATCAAAGGTATTTTTTGAAGTAATTAGAATATGAATAATATAACGACTAATCAGCATTGTAAACATATACACATTTCTCATTGAATTTTAATGAAGTTTATGTCAAAAGTTTACATTAGTTATAGCTTTGAAGAAAATCTGCACGGATCTGATATTGCTCAGCACTCAGGTCTTATTTTGCTCAGCACTAGTCTTAATTAAAGCAGTACTGCATCAGCTTAAAATTTAAATGAAATTTTTAAGAATGGTAAAAACTTAAATGTGATGATTTATCGCCATGCTTTATCAGAACAGATAACAAAGTGATATCCCAGTCTTCATTTAAATCTCTACTATGATGTGGTTATCTCCCTTGATGTATTGAATTTGCTTTGATTTAGTTACTTTGTATTTAGATAAGGGAATCAATTAACAAGCTTTATCCTCAGAACAGTTAAAATGAAACACTTTGTAACTATAATTTATAAGCTATCATTTTGATAAAATGATTTTTTAATTGATTTTGAGTTTCTGTTGATACTAAGAAGAGGAACAGAACAATATCTGATTTTAGTTCAGTTTTTTATTTTCTGTTTTGTATCCTCTACAAACATTAAAATTATTAGAGCATTACTAATGACCAAAGTCATTATCCTGATATTGGTCACAGTAAGTTTCTTTGAGGAAATTTTAATTTGCCTAAATATTTAGGTAGGACTACATATTCAGGGGGCATTTAAGGTTATAGTTTTCCTGGCTTAAAGTGTGAATTATTGCTATTACTTTGCATCCATTGTCTGTCAAAAAGCTGTCCTTTCATTCCTTAAACTAAAACAAAATGTTCTCTTAGCTCTAAAACCACTTATCCAGCTGAAACCAAAGTTGTCCCATTCATCCTTAGATATCTGGTTTCAGATACATTGTAACCTTATTCTATGGGGTAAGTGAGGCAAAATGGTATATTATTTATAGCTTTCTATGTCAATATACAGATTGTTTGAATTGACATGGATGGTCTGCCATGGCTGTTTACAGTTATGTAAAAAGTCTTTAGCAGTCACTTCCAATGAATATTTTTTTCCAGTAGAACTACTTTTGACCTAATTATAACCTTGAAGTTTGAAATTTTATGAAACAGTTTTGGAATATCTGGGGAAAAGTATGGAAAGGAAAATGATATTGAATGTCTATTGAGTCATCAGATTATGAATTCTGTCAAATCTTGTTTAACTTCATGCATGGTCACTGGTGGAATGATATGACTAAAACCAACATTTCAAAAAAATACACACCTAAGTGAATCTGATATGAAATATTTGAATTGGGGCCTTTGAGATGTTAATTGACATGGCCTGTCAAGAACTCAATGATATTTTTCCTTAAATTAAATAACACATTATTCTCATTCATTTTGACAATTTTGATGTTATTTGATTATAAATATTTTGTTATAAAATATACGTAAGAAAATGTCAAAACAGCATGCAAACTTCCAACATACCAGTTAAAAGTATGCATGATCTACGATTTGAAAATGATAGTTCTTCCAACTGTTCAAAAATTAATGAAATCTTATCAAATGATGTAAAAACCTTCTTGTAGAATTATCTTGGAATGATCTTCTTTCAATCACTGCTGTGAAAAGATACATTTAAAAAAACTGTAGTAAAGATAGAGGTTATCTAGCAGCAATCCTTTGATTTTCTGTAGTGCAGTTTACCCATCATTGATACATTTGAGTTGTTTTCACCTCTTATCTAATCTGATCATTTATAAATTTCAGACAAGTATCTTTAAGATTTTCATCATTTTCTGACATTTTTTAGGTCAGTTCATGATAAGTCAGTTTTCACCTGTTCTGAAATAAAGATAACAATTTTCTATTTCTTTAATTAACTTTAGTACAGACTTGCAAAAATTCGTACAGCCTAGTGCAGTATATATATTTTTAGATGGAGCAAATAACTATTTCAGTATAGTAATTACAAAAAGCAAAAGATTCCAAATATTTCATCAAGAATAACTCTCTATTGATAATTGTTTCAACATAAGAACAAAAATCAAAACATCTTATATGTTGTTCAACCTCAAACTGCATTAAATGAACGAAATAATGTACAACAAATATTAGCAGTTTACTCTTTTAACTTTTTGATAGTTTAAATAAGATTTCTTAAACACTACCTTGAAGGTATAAATGTAATTTGTTTTTTGACAATCAGATGAGTCAGATGTAACTTACTTTACAAGGAAATAGTAACACCAGGTAAACCATCACAAGGGGCAAATGTTAACACAATATATTTTGTAACAAACGTATTATTAATATCAATCTGGTTCATTGGTCAATTTTTGGAGTTTTTGTGGTTCAGGGTCACTTTTAGCAATGAAGTTTGCTTTATTTGGTGTTTGAAATTGTTGCGTAGTGTTCATGTCTGCCTGGCGAGGTTTATCTACTATTGACCTTATTTTCATGGTTTGAATGCATTAGTCAGGCTGTTGAATTGTTTTACATTTGTCATTTCAGGACTTTTTATAGCTTGCTATGCTCGAGTATGGGTTTTGATCATTGTTGAAGGCTGAACAGTGACCTATTGTTTCTTATCTTCAATGTCATTTTGTCTCTGGTGGAGAGTTGTCTCATTGACAATCATACCATTATCTTCTTATTTTTATATTATCCAAACTTTGCTTGTGATAAAATGAAATATATGAGAAAATTTGCATTCTCAGCATCTACTTTTTCTTGCAATAATAAGTATTTTTTGTAAATTTTAGAAAATATAGATTCTACGAAGGCATTTCCTTTGATTTTTGAATTTCTGACATATGGGTATAAATATGGCTTTATTCTATATTTTGGAATAAAAGCAAATGAGGGTAACTAGTAAACTAGTATACAATAATGTTTAGGGGCCAGCTGAAGCCCACCTCCAGATGCGGGATTAACTCCCTGTGTTGAAGACTCATTGTTGACCTTGGGCTGTTTTCTGCTCTTTGGTTGTTTGACACATTCCCTGTTTCCATTCTCAATTTTATTGCTTAATAATTACTTTTTCTGACAAATACTAACTACCTTATATATTTATTTCTAGCTGCAGGTTTTACTAGAAAAGAAGTCTGTTTCTTTACATTTACATAATATTCACACATAAAAAAACATGATCAAAAACAGACACTAGACCTAATTTGATAGATCAGTTATAAGGACAAGTCTGCTTTGTCACCTCTTCAACTCTTTTTGATAATGATGAAAATAAAGGTATATGCCTGTACTTCATTATTTTGCATGTTATGTTACCAAAACCATTAATAGCATAAATATGCAAGTAGTATTTTGTTTTGATTTATGACTAACTTATAGAGAATATTTATTTTTCAGTGGTATGTCGAGGAACCAAAATGGGCATGAGTGTTAGTGGAAGCTCTAAAGATCACTATGAATTGTATAAGCGTAGATACACAAACTGTACATATGTAGATGGAAATTTGGAAATTACATATTTAGATAATAATGGGGAGGGTTCAGAACAAGATTGGAATTTGACTTTCTTGGAATCCATTGAAGAAGTTAGTGGATACGTTTTGATTTATTCTGTTTTTACTCAAGAGTTGCATTTGAAGAACTTGCGTCTCATAAGAGGAAGTCAGTTGTTCTCATTCAAGGGAGAGAAGTTATATAGCTTAGTTTTAGCAAGTAATAGTAAACCAGGATCTACAACGAAAGGATTGATGCACCTTGGATTTAAAAGTTTACAAGGTAATATATACCCAATGAATAAATGATATTAACCTTAAATTAATGAAATTTGATGAGAACATTTTTATGTTGGATAGAATTGGTTTTCAGTGTCAATCCTTAGAATATTCCAAAACCTCACATGAAGTCAAAATGAAAGAATAACCCCATTTTGTCTAGACTCATGGAGATAGTGGTAAAGAGATTTACATAATGGCAAATGTGTGAGGTTTTGTTATCCAAACTTATTCTAAATAAATCAAAATGTTAAAAGGTTTGTCTACACACCTTGTAATCGAATAATCATAATAACTTTTGCTAAAAATACCACATACCACTCAATTCCAAAAACGAATTTAAACTAAAAAATTGAAAGATCTCTTTCAGTGACTAGATTATTCCTGTGTGTCTGAAAACTTGTCTGCTGGTCCAATTGCTTTCAGACTTCAAGGAAATGATACACCTGGAATCAGTCCCCTTTGAATGTTATGTTTGATGACCACATTTGCTAAAAATTAAAAAAAAATTAAAATAATAAAAAAATTAAGTTAAAATATCCTACCACAACTTGAAGTAAATTTTAATGCTGGTCAATTTTAATGATGATAATGATGATGGATGGCTTTAACGTCCAGCGGCAAATTAATATGTATATTCAGGACAAGAACAAGTTAATTTATTATGAATATTAACCCTGCTTTGTACTAGACCGACACACTGAACCAGATTTTTTACGTGCTTAAGTTCACAAGGTAACAGTCTGCAGGAAGACATGTCACCTTACCCAGACACTCTATTCTGACTCCGAGCTGACCAGTCTTTGCTCTTACTCCTTAATACTGCATGCAAAGAGTAGAAGCAGCAAATACCAATTTTAAATTCTTTGGTTTGACCCGGCCAGGGTTCGAACCCATGACCTCCCACACTCAGGGTGAACACGAGACCACCATGACAGTCGGTCAATTTTAAACTGAAATATGAAATTTATAAAAATCTGGTATGGGGCTGGCTAATTGCTTCTGAAATTAATGAGGTTAAATAGGTTTGGATATTCAAAGGTAAAAGATATAGCCTCTGTGTGTCTAATTCAATTTTATTGGATTTTTGTCTCAATGACCCCATTTTATCTTAATCATATATTTTTAAATATGTTATATCTTTGTAGAGGTAAAAAATGTTCTAATTATTGATATTGCATAAGACAAGAAAAAAAAATGTTTAAAGGTCCTGATAAGAGATGAATATAAAACAATGACCCATTACACAAGTATGGAAGAAATATTATTGTATAGTACCAACCATAGCTATTGCATGGTGACATCAATGACACAGTGTAGAGCATGTTCAGGAAAAAAATAAGTACAATGGAAATAAATCACTCAAGCATAGTCATTTCTCTGAGTAAAGAAAATACAAAAATCAATCAGACATAGCCACAGACCATTTATACAGAAAAATTCACCTAGGCATAACAAATTGACAACTGTTTGTAACTGTTGTGAAAAATCACCGAACCACTCAATAGACCAGTTCTGTTTATGGACCACTCAGACATAGCTTCAAACCATTAAGTTTATATACATAACAAAATGTCATACAAAGCCAAAGACCATAGCAAATATATCACTCAGGCAAGCCACAAACCATAGCACTAAATATCACTCAAGCAAAGCCTCAGACCATATAAAAAAGTACTGTCAAGGCCAGAAACCTTAGCACAAAAATCACTCAGGCAAAGCAACAGACCATAGCAAAAAATTACACTCAGCAAAGCCACAAACTATGGCACAAAATATCACTCAGGCAAAGCAACAGACCATAGCAAAGGCCAGAGGCTCCTGAATTGGGACAGGTGCAAAAAGGCGGCGGGGTTAAACATGTGTTGTGAGATCCCAACCCTCACCTATACCTCTAGCCAATGTAGAATAAACAAACACACGGCAATACGCACAGTAAAACTGAGTTTAAAAGAAGTCTGAGTCCAATGTCAGAACAGGTAACAGAAGAAACTAAGCAAAATGACAATGATACATTAATTAACAAAGGACTACTAGCAGTTACTGACATGCCAGCTCCAGATCTCAATTAAACTGATTGAAAGATTGTGTCTTCATCATATGAAAATCAAGCACAATCCCTCCTGTTAGGGGTTTAGTATCATACCATCATAAAATATATGAGAAGAACATAACCCGTATGATGCCAACAACTGGTTTTAGAAGAATTGTGTTTATTTCTGATGCAAAGACCCTATGAGTGAATCAATATTAATTCCAAAATATGCCATCTTTAATGACCTGACAACAGTATCGTAACTATATCCCTTCTGAATAAGTCTGTTTAAAGGTTTTTTGAGCTTTTGAGGTGAATGACGACATTTTTGTGCTTTGTATAGAATATTACTATAAAAGATTGGATGTGAAATATCTGAACATATAAGATGTCTAAAGACCATCTCTTTTTACAAAGTATAACTCAAATATAGCCACATACCACCATTTAATGATAACAGTGTAAACAATTACTATAGCTTATCCATAGGCCTACTTGTAATTCAATTGATTTGATTAGTAAGTTAATTTGGGTAGAAAATACTGCTATGATAAAAAGAAAGTTGCAAAAGTAAGCTTAGACATTTTGTTTTGATGAGTATAGTACAAAGGATGACTGAAGCATAGACATAGATAATATATCTGCAAAAAATAACACTTTCATAGCTACAGACCATGTCATATATAGTATTATTAGTGCAGTGCAAAATATTGTAAATACTTTATTATATGTCAAGAGTTTAATTATTAAAATGATAATCTTAAGATAAGCAGTGTAATGATTTAGTCTGTATGTGGGAGATAGTTATGTAAGAGAACTACATTATCACATTCTATATAAGTCATTAGGTATCAATATTACTTTATGCCTCTTTAAACACCTGGTAAGAAGGGAGTGTTGTCTATCAGACAAGGTTAACCATCACATCATTAGTTCACATTACATCACATAATGACAGTTACAATAATTGATAGGAAGAAGAAACTTAAGACATCATTAAACAACACTGCAAGTCCAGACTTCATGACAGCTTCATATTAAGCAGATATCAAAAACTCATAATGCTACTTTACTGGACCAATGGTTTACAGTGCTCAATATTCTGGTAAAGGGTCAGCAGAGGAATTAGAATACTTGCTATTAGTTTTACATGTTGACTTTAGAATTTATTACATGTAACTATTCCAAAGAAAAGACTAGGACTTGAATTAACACAAGCCATTGTGTGACAATTACATAGGAGATCATAGGAAAGTTCAAAATTGAGACTATGAAAAAAAAAAAAGGACACCACTCTTACATGGCTACATACTAATTTCCATGCAATTAGTTAGTTCAGTTTGAATTTTACATAAACCTGTTTAAAAATTTGTTAGATTTTGAAATCAATATTACTTAGATGAAACATCTTGCTTCAGGTGACTGTATCTTAAATTTATCTGAATTCCAATTTAACAAGGGATTATGTTTAAGATGAATAGTACATATGCATGCTCATCTGTGACACAGATACTCTATTACAGTCAACCAAATCATGATGGCGTCTGTAACACTATCATGGAGATCAGCTTTACCATAATGAACCCTATCTTGGTTTAATAGATTACTTAGTAAGCACAAACCCTCTATCAGTGAAATCATCATAAGAAACCACAAGCCGTGATTTTTTACATCAACTAGAAGGTATATACTCCATATGCAAGTGCTGCTGAAACGTTACATCATAAAAATGGAAAGTTAACAATAAGAAAATTGCAGATAAATGTTTGTAGTAATGATTAGATTGCAAATTTCTTAACGTAAATCAAGATATGAAAATATGCAAAAAGTGACTTATGTAGCCTTATATATTTGTTTAATAAGCTCATTTTTTATTTTGTAGAAATAATGAATGGAATTGTTTATTTTTACAACAATAATTTGTTGTGTTATGAAAATACAATCCATTGGGCAGACATTAATCCCAGTGTAACACCACATGCTAAATACAGCTTTAATAATACTTATCACAAAAGGGCATGTAAGTATTCCAGTTGATCAAACATTCTGGTGCAGTGATTTCATGTATGTACATATTGAGAGTGCCCTAGATGTTATACCCTGGAGTAGAGGCTATATTACATTCTGTTTGTCTATCCCTTTCTTCAACAAATATTTTTGTCACATTTTTCTTAGAACTACAGAACAGTAGGACTTCATATTTGGTCAACAGCTTGACAGTAATAGGTGGGATCTGTCAAACACCTACTGAGTGTTTGCACATACCAGAGACATATATACACATGTGTATATATGTCTCTGCACATACTTAGAATTTTTCATTGTGTTCATTTTATTTAAATGAAGTATTAATATAGGGGGAACTTGATCTAATATGTTGTTAAGAGATACAATTGGAATTAACCAATCAGATTGAGTTTTTCCCAGTATCTGCAGCCCTTACTAATTAATTAAGTTGCTATTTAGGTTACTAAGACATTAGCCAATCAGGGCCCAGTATTTATTTGAATTATCCAATCAGGGCACTAATTAGTGGCTCTTGTTTTAACAAGAGCGCAATTATTCATTTTCAAATTTACCAGCGGCGTATGCAGACATTTTTAATTTTTGGCAGAAAAAATTTCTAGTCCCACCCACCACTCCCTATTGGTATGTGAAAAATCTTTTAACACACTGCATGTTATTTTAATAGTTTCCTTTATTGCATGATTTTATTATTGTTTATTTTAATGTGTAGTTTTGTGTTTTCTATTGGAGTACCACAGGTTTTTCAAAGACTGTTTGTGCAAAATGAAAATATTATTGTTTCATTGTTAATTGTCTTTATATATGATGCAAAGATTAATTAAACTGTGGTTATTCGCCCAAACCTGTATTATGTTTTCCTCAACCTATGTCTATGTGGTTATACATGGCGGTAGGAGTATGAGACTCTATTCAGCTTGGTTCTTGCAGTGGCTGTATAGGATCTGATCTTGCTTCCAACCATGTGATAGCACCCCACCATTTATGAGTTCACATTAGTTGTCACACATACACATTACATTTATATAAGGCCAAGGTATACATGGGAATAAGGGGGGAGGGGTCCACTTCCATAGTGTACACGAATTAATTTGTGGTATGAATAAAGAATAATTCACACTTTTCTCAGTAACTACTGAATAGAAGGACTACATATTTGGTCAGTAGCTTGAAAGGGATGAGTACTATAGTCTGAGTACTTTTTGGATCAGTCAAATAGCTACTTCCTGCTAGGTTAAATGAACAACCCAAGAACTAATGAACTGAGTGACTTCCTGTTTCTAATATTTTTGATTACCAGTGGGGTACGTTTAGCACTACAAATGCACAGCTACTTGTTTGGTTTTCCTGAAAGGTATGAAGTTCTGCACTTGTCAAGATTAAGACCTGAGCAATAAAAGTGCTGTTCCTTCCAGAAACCAGCTCTTTCCTTGTGCACCTTAAAAATGTTATCTTCTTTAAATTCATCAAATTTATTTGTTAGATATCAATCACATTTGATATGGAAAAGAACTGTAAAAAAAATAAGAAACATTGTAATTTTACAAGCAAAAATTATATTTGATTATTTCCAAATATATCTTTGAATTAGTGTTGGCCTTTGCCTATCTAATTTCTTCCAATCTGAGAGGTCATATTCATAACAACAAAAAATGTGTTGAAATAATTTTCATATCATATGTTTTGCTGCTTCCTTGATACAAAAACTGCATGCAAAGAAATTACTCATAGCCCAAAGTGGTATGACCATGAATTAAGAATCGGTAGGTCTAATTTACCTTATGATTTACCTTAATGAAGGAGCTACATCAAACTTTATTTTATGATGGCTATAGGAAGGGTCAAGTGTCGGTTTCAGTTGTTTAGAAATGGTATATTCAAGAGAAAATCTACCTAAATTATCTGGCCTAAAAATCTGGTATCCTACTTTCTGAAAAATAAAGCATTATTTTGAATAACAGTGCAAAAGTTCAAACTTCCGTTTATTTATCTGCTTAACTATGACTTTATATATTTGCCAGGAGAAAGGATTATTAAAATTTTACACAAGAAATACAATGCCAAATATAATCCTAACAAATAATATGTTTATACTTTTAACAAATACTTAGCCTGTTTTTTTTTCATTGTAATTTTATAAATACCTTGCTAATATTTCACTGCCTTTCTTACAATTTGCAAATGACAGTGATGCCAACATTCGCCCCAAGGCTCTGGATAACCGTCATCATTGTAACAGACCTCTGTTTTAAATATCCCATGTTATCTACATAATGATGCTTTTAATCAGTTTATACTGTGTAATTGACAGGATTGGAGATTTGCTTTGTGGGTTCAGACCAATATAGTTGGTCTAAAAGTTCCCAGTCTACAAAAGATTTTCTTCTAACTCAAGTTGATCAATGATTTTAGTTCATAATTTAAACAATATGAAGATATTTCCAACGATTTTACAACAGTTATATTGGTTTATACACTATGTTTAGTCAATTTTTTTCTTCTTCTTGATGTTCTGATACAAGCTTATCAGGGCCAAAACTTTTAATATTTTGACATTATATTTGGCATGAAGGTGTAGTACCATAAGACATCATAATGACCTTTATATAGTCTTGATCTTTGATCTCAGGGTCAAAATAATTGATTTTTGGGTAATTTTTCTGCCTGGTGCAATTTCTTTTTTCCTCTGACAGTTTTTTTTTTTACATTCAAGGTCATATAAATTTTGACTTTGTATCTGTCATTTCCAAAACCAAATATTTTATTTCTTGCCATTGCAAGTTCTTTTCAATGCCCCTGGGGTCATTTGCTGTCCATACCATAATAAATCATTAAAATCTTAAATATCTTTAAAAATTCTCATAGTCGTCACCCCTTAACCATATATTCTTAATTGTCATGACAAAACCCTTTCCAGTACACCATAGGTTTTGCCCTTTTCATTGTATTGTAAATTGCTTAACTAAATCAAAAACTCTTCAGATCCCTTAACCATATATGGCCGTTTTTCAATAAAAATGTGATTTCTTGTCCCAGCCACTTTTAAAAAAATGTGTTTGATCTTAACAAGTAATTTTTTGTTCAGTCAGTACATTGAATAAGATTTAACATTTTTAAGCAAAGAAACATACTATTTTTAGAGGGATTAATAAGATATTGATTCCTGAATGGTTCAAAATAACCAAAATGGCATGTCCCTAGACCTCCTGTTCAACCTTCATACTCTATAATATTGTAAAAAAAGGTAGAAATAAATATTATTTTTACTTAATATAAGTTCTTTAATTATTCAAAAGTATGTTTAGAGCCAACATATTTTAATAAACAGCTTTAGACAAAGGATTTTTAATTTTAGAAGGTGTGTTCCTGACATTCCTGACAAAATGTCCACTACGAAACGAAGTTATTAAATTTTGCTAATAAACAGTTTTATAAAATCAATGTTTGAAAGAGATATAAACATTAGGGTCTTACAAAAGAAGATGTTTTTAAAACGGCAGTTAAATTGTTGGCAAAAAAAGTTGAGCACATCAAATGGACCAGAGTGATACCGTATTTCTGTTTATGTCCACTACGAAACGGGTCAAATCTCCTTCAGTATCTGGTTTTAAAATTATGAAAAATATCAGTGTACAGCTTAGTACGTGCTTTGATGAATAAAATTATTCTTGTTACTATTGCAATATAGGGATTGTGGGGAAAAAATAAAACATGTGAATATGTCCACTACGAAACAGTCACCTACGAAACAAGTATGGGAGAAAAACATTTCGTAGTGGACACTACCACTACCATGCAGTCGTTTTTTTACTCTTTTTTCAATTATATTCGTGCAAAACAAATAACAAGGGTTAGTTTCATGTAATTTTCTGTGTGATTTTATCAACATAGAATAGGGTTGATGTCAACTATGAAACTTTTTGTCCACTACGAAACGGTTTTGTCAACTACGAAACTCATCAAAATGTCCACTATGTAACATGAGTTGTACCTTCATATGTGAAGTACTGTCTAATCTTTATCGATAAAAAATGGTTCTCCAATTCAGAAAAAAATGAGAGCGTTCTTGTATATAAAGTAAAACAAACTGGAATGTCTATAGGAGACATTAAAATGCAATGAGATGTGCGTTAAGAAACAGTACATAAATTATGAAAATAATATCATTTTAAAGAGTATTTAAGATTGCACTTTTTATTTACAAACAGGTCTATAATAGAGGTATTCAAAATAACTCTTGAAATAAAATTTTAGACAAGTTGACTTTCCATTTTTTTTAGGTCTGAAATTCACACTTTTATTGAAAAACGCCCATATATTCAGAATTGTCATGATAAGGCCTTTCTGGGGGAATATAGGTTTTGTTCCTTGAGGTCCCTCTCATCATAAATTGTTTAAATACCTCTACAACTTTAAGAATTTGTACAGGAGGGGTGGATTGTTATGTCACAACCCCTCATATTATAAATTGTTAAATGTACCAAAACAGTTAAGTTAAGTATGTTGTGCCTTCTCTTATCCTGATTGTTTCTATACATGCTATAGATGAAGGGGAGACATGTGTCAGTCCACCTAGTTAAGATTTAGCTTTTATATTGGGGATTTGTCGATGAGAATGTAAGTTCACTTTTTTCTTGTTTCTTTATATGAAAATCTTGAAAAACCTCAGAAAATGACTTCTTTATTGTTTTCTACATTGTTTTATATCATCTAAATTAAAAATAAAAGAAGTATTTTGGCCAGATGGGAAAGGCCGTTAACGTTAAAGGTTTTAAAGAAAAACAGCAAGTTGGTTTACAAGAAAAGACTATCTTACTTTGAAATCAAGTTTGAAAGTTTTTGACTTAAATAGTCCCTGTCCCAATATACAATACAGGAATAATAGGACACACATCCATTAGTACGTTCTGTACAATAGTATTGTCAATACACCTCGTATATCTTACCAGCTTACACTTTGAACATCATTCTCTTCTACTTTAACAGATTTTTCGTCAATATAATGATTATTTCCATGATACTGCTACTCAGTGCCATGAATGGATGCACCAAAGCAACTGAAATTTCAAACAATTTGTGTCCATCAGTAAATGTAAATTATTTGAAAAGTCTTAACTTCATTGTCTATGGTAATTTTTTAATCATAGAAATTTGCATATCAAGCATATAGTGGAAATTGTAGAATGCAGTTGAAATGACTGTTATAATTTGTTAATTATGGTAGTAAATTACAATAGATAAAATTAATAGGTAAAACATTACATTACAGGTGGTGAATGTCATCCAGCTTGTTATAATGAGAAGACAGAAACCAAACAATGTTGGGGAGAAGGTCCAGATATGTGTCAAACATGTAAGTTCACATTTTGGTGGTAAATGCTTTGGCTAGTAAACATGGTAAAGATTAGAACCAAGATTTCTAATGGATGCATGAAACCCTACAACAAATTTCTATGGATATGGTGTATTGCTTGGATTCATATTAAAATTCAGATAAGAAATATTTTATATCCACTATAGCAATTGTATAGCAGAAACTATCCCTAGTAAAACAAACTTTTTCAATTAGTCAATGTCTTTTGAACCTAACTTTCAATATCTGGTTATTTCAGCCTGGTTGGATCTCTACTTTTCAATCATGATCATTATTGTATGATTTTCAAAGGGATAATTAACTATTAAGAACATTTAGCTATCAGAGTTTTGATGGTTAATTTAATCCTTCTCACCAGGACTTTTTAACATGCTTTATTTCAAGTAAAGTGAAACATTGATTTCTGTATTTAATGCACAGTATTTTCTGTAACAAACAACATTTGAGAGTACTTATGTTATAGGTATTCAGGTTTATCCTTTTTCAAAGGTTTTGGAAGGGATCATTAGTAGTAAATGTCCAAAAATTGTTTCCATTCATCCAATGACCATTTAGCATTAGGCAAACAAAGACCTGTTGATACTCATAAATGTTAAAAAATAAAAACTTAATAACTTAGTTACTCACATAATTATTATTTACCATGTAGACTACTTTCCTTTCATTTCACAATTTTCATTCATCAATTTGATTCCATAATTCCAATTTCAAATTCAAGCTGCCATATGTCCAACTCTTGCAAGCTAATACCAGAGAGCCAAATTTTGAAAAAAATTAACCATGATCCTTTAAACAAAGCATTATGGGTATTATGATTTACGCCCTTCCAACAGTGTTAAGCCCATAGGAAAATTTATGACTTGCTTATTTCAATTACACCAGGCTTACCACTTTTTTCTATGCCTGTTAGTGCTACAAATTTATGTTTCCTGCTCCATTACTCCAGGAACTGGACACGTAACTACCACTGACGCCTGGTTTACGCCAGATTTCCAGGGGTAATACGCCTTATAATTTCGTACGGGAGCAAACATCCAATATAATACACACAAGTATAAGCTATCCAAAAAGCTTGTCTGACTTTAGCATCTATTTAATGTGAGCAGAAGCGTGTTGCTAGACGTTAGTGAAAATACTGGTATAGATTTAGGACCTCAGATAATGTGGGTTTAGAATTTGTTTGGGTGGAAAATGAAAATAACGCAATTAATTTTGTGCGTTTGAAGTGTTTTTCTGGATTTATATTCATCAGGAATGCTCAAACCCCAAAATTTGGAAGTCAAGTATATGTAAGACCTAAACACATGAAGAACTATTTGACCAAAAGGGACCTTGAAAAATAACCAAATTCATTTAAGGTCAACTTTGCCTGAGGAAGTTGGAACCTTAGTTTCGTAATAATTTATTAATTTATGAACAGAATATTTAAGAAAACTTTGTTAGAAATCATATCAGTACAGATCCACTGACTTCTGAGTTGATGATACCCTTTGGGACTAATAAATGAAAAAAATAGTATTTAGATGTCTTTTTACACGAAAATTTCATATAGGATATGGAGTAATGGTGATTATATTGTTCAGTGTTCTCCCCAGGCCGTTTTAGCGCTGTGGTATTCAGCGCTATCACATTTTAGCGCTGTTCTATTGGACAGACCGCAGCGCTATGCAATCAAATATCAGCGCTATCGTTTTTCAATTTTCATATTTCCGGTGTTTAGCTGTACAATTTCGATTACGTGATCAACTGGTTGATTTGTCTGAGATCGATGAGATACCTTTCAAAGTCAAATATGGGAGCGATCAGTGCAATGAAAGAACAAAATGGCGTCATTGGCAGATCTCTGACTGTCAAAAAGAACTATTCATTTCCCCGTTTTTTTCACCTTTAAGAATAAAAAGGTGCATAAACTTCATGAAATGGGTGGATAGTGCTCAATAAATCATTACCAAAGTATTTAAAGAAAGGTTTACCCTTTCTCTGACAACGTGGTCTTCGTCTTATTATTTCAATCATTTTCGAGTATTTCATTACTGTTTAGTGGTTACAACTAAACTGGTGAACCTTCATGGCTTGCAGGAAGTATTCCCGTTGTCCAGGGATTCATTATAAGCCCGTATTTTACGATTACTTGTCCTAGCTTGCATCGTTTTTTTCAAAATCGAATAGAGGATAAAACAAAACAAAATCGCGTAAATAAATATAAATTATTGTGTTATGCCATCCAATTATCAATAAATGTCAATTAAATGATATTTTATAATCAATATTAACAGGGGACTGCTTGGCATTTAATGATAAATAAAAGCATCCATTTGGTCAAAGTGTAAGCAGGAAATGGAAGTTGTAGAAGGGAGACAATTTAGGCGGGAAAAGTACTAAAACTAGTATTGTCAAATCTTGTCAAATAATTTTGGTGGCAATAATTCAAACATTTATAAAGTTATCAAACACAACCTTTAAAGTTGGTATTTATGTTTGAATTGGCAAATATAATTTTTCATTCTAACCCACCTTAAATAATAAAAAAAAATCATTAAACAAAAATGAGGTTTCTATTAGATGCATCTTTGAAGTATGTTAGCCTCTTTACTTAAATATGTCTGCATTAACATTTGATTACTTATAGAAAGGGTAATCCACTTTTTCCTTTGATATGAAATAAAATACTGATTTTAGTTGTGAATTTTTAATTTGAAAGATGTAAATATTAATAAAAGATAATGAAAACAGTCAAATTTGGCCATTGGAAAATAAACTAGTGTCAGTTAATTATGAAGCTGTAAATGAAAAATATATAAACTAGTTTAAGTTAAACAACTAGAGTAAGGGAAAAAGTATACCTACTGTGCTATATTGTACATAATCTCTCTTATAAGAAAAGATTGAGAGGGATAGTAATGAAATCAAATTTTTAAAATTATCTAGGCATTTTAATTAAAAGCTTAATATAATAAAAATGTAACTTATTTTCATTTGTAATAATTCATATAAATATATGTATATTAAAATGCAGGTCTTTTTTTGTTTTGTACAATATAACCAACATGGCAGTTGTAAGTAAATGTAACATTACGTCGCAAAACAGTGAATCAATCTAATATTGCACGCTTACCACAGCACTATCAAAAAATCCTGGGGAGAACACTGTTGTTTACAACAGAAAACTGTGAAATTAAATGAATTGCTGTGGCGATGCTGTCCACTTAGTTCTTTATTTGATATTATTATAGTATTAATTGCTGTGGTGTTTTCTTCATAGTGAATATTGTGGGTTATTTTTAACTATTGTATAAATCAGATAGTAATTGTGTTGTATATTATTAGAAGAGTTTGGCAAACCAATTATATTCCTATATTTGACATTTACAAAATAGTTAAGTTTGTTAAGCAATGGGATGATGATGACTATGAATGACTGTTTATTGTCCAGTGGCAAGCGAAATCCATATTTAGGACAGAAATATGTCAATGAGTTTTGAATATGAGCCCTGCTTTACAAAAGCTATTTCCCTTGTTAAGGTTCCATAGGAAGACATTTGACCATAATTAGTCTTACTTCCTACCATTCTTTTCTCGCATAAATGAAGAATGCTTAGTAGAAAAGCAGCAAATACCAATATACTGAAATAAAAAAAGTAAAAGTGCTGGTTATTGAAAGCCTCAAGCATCAGTGAAGAGACATTAATTGTTGAATGACATAAAAATTGGTACCATTAATGTTATTACTACCACTGGGTTGATACCTCTGGTGGTGGACTGTAAGTCGATACCAGCCCAGTAGCCAATACTTTGGTACTGGCATCAAAATACGGATATTGACTCAAACTTTGTATTCCCTATTTTGTAATGCATGTCAAAAACAGTTTTGTATATAATCAGCTTTGACATGGCAAGTTTTTTATAGAAACTGTTAAAATTTTACAATTACCATGATACGTTTTAACTGAATAGCAACTCAATGGGTGCCAACTATAATTGAAACAGATATCCTCTATTTAAATGCATTAATTGTATGGTTATGTCTTCTTCTAAAAGCTATTACCATTGCAATTACAAGCTTTTTCAAAAAGCTATTATCATTGCAGTTACAAGTGTTTTTAAAAAGCTATTACTTTGGATTTACCTTGATGCAATGTTACTCATATTGCAACGCAATGGACACCTACATCAATTGAAAAGGAAGTTAGCAAGTTGAATCTAATCATCTGAAGCCTTGATGTCAAACAATAATCTTCATGAAAAGAAAATAATCTATGTTGCTTTCTAAGGTTTAAGGTCAATATGGTTTAAGTATAAGTATCAAAATATGGATAGCCTTATCAGGCCAAGAGATGATAAGCCTGATTGATTTTCAAGGTCAGATATCAAAATTTTTGTCGAGCCTGCGATAGTGATCCGACGGTGGCGGCGGCGTTAGCTAGCTTCTTAAAAGCTTTATATTTTAGAAGGTGGAAGACCTGGATGCTTCATACTTTGTATATAGATGCCTCATGTTACGAAGTTTCCGTCAGTCACATGTCCAATGTCCTTGACCTCATTTTCATGGTTCAGTGACTACTTGAAAAAAAAGTTCAGATTTTTTGGAATGTTAAATTCTATCTTATTATAAGTAATAGGATAACTATATTTGGTATGTGCGTACCTTGCAAGGTCCTCATACCCGTCAGACAGTTTTCACTTGACCTCGACCTCATTTCATGGATCAGTGAACAAGGTTAAGTTTTGGTGGTTAAGTCCATATCTCAGATACTATAAGCAATAGGTCTACTATATTTAAGTCTCCCAAACGAAGTTTGGGAAGACTTATTGTTTTTGCTCAGTTCTTATTATTATTATTCTTCTTCTTCTTCTTCTTCTTTCTTCTTCTTCTTCTTCTTCTTCTTCTTCTTCTTCTTCTTCTTCTTCCACCGCTTTTAAATTTGAACTTGTCCGCACCCGTTCTCCAAAACCGCTTGTCAGATTAACTTAGGGTTTCA